CCCATTTAAGAAATAAAAAATATAAATTAAATAAAATATATAATAAAAATAATATATATATATAATTAGATTTTAACTTAAATAAATAATTATTTTCATTAATATTAAAATTTAATTTAAATTTTATTAAATTTAATTTGTATTATATTTTTAAAAAAATTATAAAAATGATGGATTAAGCAGCTCAACTCTATAGGTTGAACTCATTTTGTCAACCTTAATCTTATGATAATGTTCTTATAGTTCTTGAAAATATAAAAAATAATTATTTTTGTTATTAACAAATAAAAGAATGATTGAAGTGAGAATTAGAACTATCTAGCGAAACTTGAAATGAGTTAATTTTGTCTTTTTGATAAATTTGAAGTAACGTGCTATATAAATATAATTATTATTTTTTTAATAACTTTTTTAGCATTAAAAATCTCAAGAAAAAAATAAGTAAAATTAAGAAATAGCGAAATGTTTATTAATATTCATTATTTTTACAAACTTAGCTATATTATAATTAAATATTTAACAAATCTTGTAATTTAAAATAAAATAACAAAAAAATATCAATTTAATTCTTAATTATATATTTTTTCAATTTTGTTTCTAAATTAATAATAACTTTATTTTAATCCTTAAGTTATTGAAACCTCTTTTATTAAATAGTGTTATTACACATTAATAACATTTAAATAATACTATTAGACGTTAATAACACTTAAAATTTTAAATACCAACTTAACATATCAATTGTCAGTTAGTTTAGTGTTAGAGGTCAAATACTATTAGTAGTTGTCAATGAAGATTTTGTATGAAAAAGTATGATAACTTTATAATTTTGTAAAATAAATGAATTTTAACGTAAATTTTAATAAATACTTTTTAAAAGTGATGCATTACCTTTTTAAGATGTAACGTATCACTAACGTATTAAGTTAAAATTTAAAATGCTAAATTAATAGATGTTAGTTTAAATAACAAGGGGTTTGATAATTTTTAAATAATATTTTAAATTTAAGTTCTTATGTATGTTAAATAAGTAATTTTATTAATTATTATTAATATTAATTAGTTATATATATTAACATAAAAATATTAGAACAAATTAAAGATTAAAATAAAATATTTATTAAATTATAGACAATTTTAAAAATAATATAAAATTAAAGACCGAGGTGATCATAGAACATAAAAATATTAATTTACTCAAATAACAAGAATATTTTCTTATTCTTTGATTATTTTAGAAAAAAGAATAAAAAAGCTGGAAAAATAAATTTTAAATTAAAAAATAGTTTTATTTTACAAAATTATTTATTTATTAACTAAACAAATATTATTATTCACATTTTTTTTTTTATTTCTTTCTCTCATCTAACCCAAGTTAATCTAAATCTGTTCATCCATTCTAAATCATAAAAATACATAAAACAATTTATATTGGAAATTAATCAATATTTAAAATCAAAAGATACATATGATGAAGGCAAGTACAAGTCTTTGCAACTTTAGTTAATTATTATTAAAGAAGTTCCAATGTTAATAATATTTCATCTTTAAAAGGTTTTGACTTTACTGCACAATTCGAACTTCGAAGCCTCCTTTTTCAGTGACAGAGGTAGTCAGGTAGGCTTCTTCTCCTGCTTTTGGGTGACATGTTGGTGATTATCATTTCAACCCATCAAATCCAACATTCTTTGCTCATCATTCATTTTAGTTTTATAAAATTTTTTATTTTTATCTTTTCCAAATTATTCTTACCTTAATACAATCATTATTGTAATTAATTAATCACTGATTACCTCATTCAAAATTCCAAAGGAATCTCAATCACTCCTATTTTCGCCTCCACTGTATCAAATTATCAATGCATTTAACTATTGTTATTAATGTCATATTTATATTCCTTCGCCCCTCTTTTCTCTCCATTTATTATCGTCTGATATTTGATTCCCTTCACACTTTTTAATGTGTATGATAAAATTTTATATTATTATTAAATTTAATTTATTTATAATATTAAATATTATAATTTTAATCACACTTATTATTTATTAAAAAAAATCGTTTTGCGTTTATTCTCATCAACGGTTTACCCTCTTGATATTATTTATGCTTGTGCCCACTATTACTTGCCGAGTATCGTTTTGCATTTATTGTCTTGTTGTCTAAAATGGTGTGCCGATGGAAATTTAATTTATACTTTAACCTAATTCTCCTTCTCAGAATAATTACAAAAATAAATTGGCTTTCACAAATGACATATCACCATTATCAGTAAATAGTTATTCAATTAATAATTATTGTTTTAAGTAATGTCTTAAATTTGAATTTTATGGAAGATTTTTTTGTTGTTGTTAAAAGAGTTAATTATATTATGTTATAAATATTTTTAATAATATATTTGCAATTTAGAAAAAGAAATTATTACATATCAGCATCTCTTTGAAAGCTGTGGTGTTTTATTACCTTAATTCCTCTTAACTATTTGACTCGGTAACCTGTGAGAGATAGATGAGATTCCTCTAGCAAGTAGCAACTATGAATGTTGCCTCTTTTAATTAAAAGAATTGGGCCCATGTCGAGAAGATATATGTTTTTCAAATTTCAACAAAGTTTGGACTTTAGACCCACACTAATAATGCAAAATCAAAATCCTTTAAAAAGATACGTCCAGGGAAAAAAATTGATTGTTTAAAAAGGATAAAAAACAACTATTTTTTTTTCACTTTTATATGCATAAAAATCTAATGAAAAGTTCATGTGTTGGAATGGTTAATCCATTCAATTTTTAAAGCTACACTTTCAAGTTTCAAGATAACCGATTTGGGTATTTCCACTTCAAAATACATAAAAAAAAGATAAGCCACAATTTCTTTATATTTAAGTAATAAATAAAAATTCTCTATACGTACCTAAAGAAGTGTGGTGTTGGGCAATAACTGTTTCAAATCAAATTTTAAGAAGGAGAAATTTTATGTACAGTTCTTTTATATTACTTTTTAATTAAAAAATTATCTTGATATAAGTTCACATTTAATGTTATCTAAAATTATTATGGTGAAACTTTAATTCTAATTAAAAATAACATAAAAAAATACCTAAAGAACTGTATGTAAATTTTATCCTTTTAAAAATAAATTGAGTTAAAACTTATAAGGTCAGAGAAATTTAAAAATGAAAAATTATTAATTTAAGAAAATAGAAAGAAAATATAAAGTAAGATTATTTAAAACAATGTTTTTTTAAAGGGGAATGATGTCTCGTGTAAGGAAAAAAAAAAACCATTCAACTCATATTTACAAATGAATTACATTTATCTAACCCTAAAAAATTGAGTAAAGATTCAAATATTTAAACTGTCATCTACAAAAATTTGTCATGTTTCATTCAACTGACCCCTTAAGGTTAATCTTTTTAACTTTTTAAAGCCTCTTTAACTATCTTTCTCTTTGGGTACAAACTATCTTGTCTTTTTCATTTTATGTGATGGGTTAAATGGAGAAATTTTAAAATCAATGAAGTAGAAAAGTTAAAAAGTTTTGTTATGTAAATTCATCTTAATTAGGCCACGGATTAAATTTTATGTAAACAATTAAACAAGTGTAATTTATAAAAACATATTTTGATTGAAAACAGTGTAAAGATATTTTATTTGAGCCATTGCTTATCCGAAACATCGTCAGTGTATATTTCTTAGTGGGGAAAGGGTGGAGGGGACTTTTTTTTGTTTTTTTAATGAAAAGGGGGCAAAGACCTTTGTTTGGAACAAAATAAAATTATGATATTAAGTTAGGTTATGGGCCTATATGTTAAAGGATTAAAAATAAATAAGCATTAAAAAATTAATTACATCAATAAAAAATTATTATATTAAAAAAAATTCTATTTTTTTCACTTATAACTTAAATACTTAGTACACTGGACAAACAAAATCGCATTAACATTTATTTCGTTTAAATGAGTGATGAAATCATTTATTTGAAAATTGAAAAAGAAAATGGCATCATTTGTGCATCAGTCGTGCATAGACGATTTGCAAGAACCGGCAACTCAAAATTTTATGCTGACTTAGCGAAATCTAAGGCAACAAATTTAGCAAATTAGCATTACACTATTAGAGAATCTGCTAACATGCGCTCGTGACATTCTATCCTATCTATAATCTACTATAGTTTTAATACTTTTCCATCTTTTGGGTCTCTTCATTTTTTGTCTTTTATTTTTTATAAATATTTTTTTTTTGTTTTGAAAAAACTTTTAACTACACAAATCGTACGTTTATCATTTATACAACAAACAAATTGTGTATTCCATCAATTGGTTTATTATATGGTGATGACTTACGTTAGCTTACCAATATGCCAAAAGGAAGAACCAACACGACTCGTGAGGAACACTGAACACAAAGTAGTTGAGACATTGTTCAGTTCACCACCTAGTGCAATAAACGATTTCTATAAGTAGAAATTTACCTTTTTGCATTTGTTACACAATTTTTGGAATTTTTGACCAATTGGAAAAACAGACAATGGATAGTTATTTATAAAAACTATGTTTTTACACTAATAAATAGCCTATTAGATAGTCTCTAAGACATGCCAACACACTCAAGACTCGCACAATTGGTCCAACGAGTGTTTTCATGAAGTGATGTCTCGATATCAAATCGCACTCTGCATTCTCAATTTTTCATGCTTACAAAAAAAATTGTATCTTTAGGTAAACTCAAGTAATTTTTTTATAATTTTGTTGTAAATGCAAGAATGATGTATATAACACTGAATGCATAGTAAATAAAGCATTTATTGCGTACAAGGAAACATGGCACAACCAATTAAAAAAAATAAAAATAAAAAACAGTTCAATTAATCAATCAATAAACTAATGGCAAATTGTCCATCTATCATACATAGTCATTATATATTTTTTGGTATCCATCATAGTCCTTATTCTTTTTTCGGTAGAACCATAATCTTTATTGCATGGGACAATATGTTTGGCGTCACGAATTCATTTTTTATTTTCCATTTCCATTTTGGGGCTTACAAAAACTCTTGGGGAAACTTAAAAGAAATGAAGAAGGAAGAATTGCATGACTGAAAATAACTTACAAAATAGTATGAGCAAATAAGATGATTATTTTAGAATTTCTTACAAATTTAGAAGCAGAATTAGATAAGAGGGAAGTTCCAAGTCCAACTAAAACCCCAAAAATGCAGCCTATAAGTGGAGCCCTCATTTGTCGGTTATGTGAGGGCAAACCAATCCATTGTATCGCATACAAGTCATCTATCTACCAAACAGCAACCAACTCCTTTCACACACCCAAGTGAAGATGATAAAAAGCATATCAACTAGTACATAGAAGAATCAATAAATGTAACATCTCATAACATAAATTTTCTCGGAATCCAAACACCACTTTATTAGTTTTAGTTTGGTAGAGCCAAGAGGGAGGTTGGGACTTCGCTTGAGATTTTCTTTTCACCCTTTTATCATCATATCATATATATTTATATAATAATTTCCAAATCTATTTTCTTTGCCTTTCCATTATCTCTAGATAACGTTAAAATATAGTAACAATGTGATATATGATAATACTCAGAAGAAAATTAAAAAATAAAATGAAAAAAGTGAGCCAAGTTAACGCCAAGCAGATGCCACTGTGAGGGTTCTTCCCATCCAACCGAAGCAAATCCCACCGTTCTCTTCTTTCACAGTGAGTGCTGGGTTGACTCGGTTATTTCCCGAGGCAAGTAGCGATTTTATTGACTCGGCCAAGTTTTGACTCAGTGGTTTCAACTGGAACCCAGCCATGCTCATACGCGCACGCCATTTTCCAAACACTTCACACCGTTCCACGCGATCCCTCCCTTCGCAGGCCACCGAGTTGCACATCTTCCGACTCAGTCCCTCCTCCACCTTGACTCGGTTTGGGTTGTCCCTCCCAACCGTGGCTTCAATTGAGTCAAACAATGAGCTGTAATATGACAATGACTCGGCCACGCGAGCCAAAAACGGCGCCGTGTTGGCGTTCATCTCTTGCTCCACAATTGTCACCACGCGCGGCACGAGTCTCTTCACGCGCCTTAAAAGCTCATCGCGCGGGTTCTCTGTTGACACGCTCTCGTCGGGGATCTTATTCAACTTGTATGCGAAGTTTACCATTATCGCCTCGTCCGCATCGCAACCCAGCGATTCCCGAGTCAACTCGGCGAGTTTTTGAGTCACCACGACTCTTAACTCGAACCCGATCCTCAACCTTTCTGCTTGTCGACTCAGCATCTCTCCCACAGCTCTCACCCTCTCCTCGGCTCCGTTTTCTGCCACTGCCACGATCTTCACCGTTGAAACCTTCCCGTTCTGGCTACGGGCCGAGAGCGCGTTGAGAAGGTGCAAATACTGCTTCCCCTGTCCAATATCAAAATCCACCACGCAGAATCTGTTCTCGGTTTTCTCTTCAAATGCAGCTTCGAGGATCGCAAAATTCGCAGCCATGAACCCTACCTTGAAACACACCGAGTTCTCTAACAGCAACTGAGTTGACTCGGCATGTTCCCTGCTGAAAAGCTCGGCCACAGGTGGTGGATTTTCCACCGGGTTCATGCGCGATTTCAGAGCCGAAACCATGCAATCGGTTAACCGTTGATCTGAATTCCCAGTCTGGTTCGGTCCCTGCGCTAAGCGGTTCAGGATCTCCGTGGCAGAGTCGTTTTTCCCTTCAGTAATTGCAGATGCGGCTTCCATTAGGGTTTGCTTGAAGCAACCGGAAGCAGGTGAAGCCACAGATGAAGAAGAAGAGGTAGACGACGTGGTAGAGGAAGTAGGCGATGAAGAAACAGGTTTCTGAACCGGAGCGGTTGGACCGGGACTGATGAGGTTCTGATACGTTTCAGACCACTCGCTGGTGGTTATAACAGACGCAGCATCAGCTTCTCCTTCATCGTCGTTATCTTCAAGAAGTTGTTTCGCCAATTCCTGAAGCCGGTGGTCCATGGTCTTTTTTTCCGGTTCAGAAGACTGAACAGGAGCGGGAACCGGAATCTGAACCCGGTTCTGAGGTAAACCCAAATTTGAGTTCCGGTAAGAAAAATTTGGGCCGTTGATGGGTATGGACCCGTTGTTGGGGAGATTAATGGGCTGGGGGCGAAGCTGGTGTAGTAAAGGAGCCCCAAAACGCTGCGTATGGATTTCAGGAATGGAATAATCCATGGCTGACATAGGAGATGTATGCGTAAAAGTTGTTCTTGGCTTAACGGAACGAAGTAAAAGGTTTGAAAGAACCTGGTTGTGGTTTAGGTTAAGGTTGTTGTTGGTCGTGTTGCTGGAGGTTTGGAATTCGGTGAGGGTGCGTTTGCCGATGACGGATGGTGTAGGGCGCTGAGTGATCTGAGAGGAGGGATCTAGAAACATTGCAGGGAGTTGCTGTTGGGTTCGGTAGAGAGGGTGAAGGTTGTTGGCCACAGATGCGGTTGCGTTTGGGTTGTTCATGGCGGTCGCTGCCGGAATGGATCTGCCAGCGAAACCACCCGCTCCGCCAAAGAACTCCGATGCTCCTCCACCGCCAGTGAACCCCGGCGACGACATTCTCTGTTGGTGCTTTTAGATTGGCGAAGAAAATAAGGAAAAACAGTTAAAAGGTTGTGCTTTTGTAGAAACGCATGAGAGAGAGAGAGAAAAGAGAGAAGGGAGTTTCTTATGGGGTTGAAATGATTCTGGTGAATATAACGGAGAAGGGCAAAGGGTTTTTTTTATAATAATAATAATTGTGAGAAATTGAATTTATTGAGTTTTAAAATATGAGTGTGGAATGTTTCGCATCAGAGTTTGTACGCATGGAGATCAGGCCGTTGCCTTGGTTTAGATTCCAAGATTCAGCGAAAATGGACGGTGATTAGAGCATCGGCATCACAGAGAAAACGCACTCCGTCTCTCGTTATTTAATAACGAACTTCAATTCTCGGCAATCCAAGGCGTGAGCCAAGCGGTCACGCTACCTCTCTCGCGCGTGCGCCAACAGATAAAGTGCCTATTTGGCATCCTTGTGTTGCGTTGTTGTTGTGAATGAAACTTCTCTGAATCAATGTTAATTGAAATTTGATAAAGCGTTAGTTGTTAAGATGGAGATTGCGTTAATCAATCACTTGTGATTTTATTTTTTTTATATTCCAAATAGTTGGTACTATTTTATTTATATATTTTGTTTTACTTTGAAACACGTTGTTTCATATGTTTTTTATTTTTTTATTATAATTATGATAATAAATATAAATAAAACCTTTCATTTTATTAACATCAAAATTTATAATTAATTTCAAATATTTAAAAATAAAAAATATTTATTATAATTTTATACTATTTTAATATAAATTTATTATATCAAATTGTTTTATTTTTTACTATTTATATCAAATTGTTTAAGATTGATGTTAAAATTTTTAAAATAATTTATGAGTTAAGGTTTTGTTTTCTTAAAAGCTCAAACAAATCTACTCTCAGAAAAAAAAATTTAAATAGCAAAGTAATTTAAAATAGAATATTACTTTTAATAATGAAAATATTTAAACTGAAGAGTAATACGCTTTATCTTACAAAATACAAATCTCTTCATGTGTTCTATCTCATATGTTTTGTCTTGCTTTGTTTATTTAAAATAATTCAAAATTAATATAAAAAAATAATACAAAAGTTGTAGGTGTATTAGATATCATATTCAAATTTAAATAAATTATAAACAAAAATAAAATATAGAGATTTAAAAATATTTTCATTATTAATAGCTAATATTTTATTATATTAAATAGCAATAAATGAAAAATATATGATTCTTAAAATTGAAGAAAAATTTATGGAAATAAATTATTAAAATCAAGACATTATCTTTATTGATATGATATATCAAGATTTTAAACTTAGATATAAATTAAAGTTTATTAAGATTGTAATAATTTAAAATTCTTTTTATATGTAAACAAGATGTCTTAAATTTAATAAAATATATTAAAATTTAAATTAAATTAAATTAATTAAAATGTAAACAAATTTATTTTAGTTTAGATCAAAATATCTTCTATTAAAAAATCTTATTTAAAACGAATAGGATCACAAAATTTTCTATTCAGTATTTAATATAATTATATTTAATAAAATTTAAACTCAAAATTATAAGTTAAATTGAAATAAATCTTATTGTGATAAAAGAATAAAAAAGAAGAACAATTATTATAACTATTTTAAATTTTGTTTTATAATATATTATTGACTAATTAAATCAAAGAGTAATAATTGTCTCTCTTCAAAATTTATATTTTTCTATTCATGTATAATCTCTTTTAATGTGCAGTTCCTAAACAATAAAAAGGATATGTTTTATTTTGTCTTTAATTTTTTTTATATTTATAGAATTCTATCAAATTTATGTAATTGTTGTAAAAATTTTAATTTTATATTTTAAAATAAAATATTTATATGAAATAATTAAGATGATAAGCTTTTAATGAAATTTCTTTTAATAATGAAATATTATAATTTACTTTTAGTAGAATAAATTTATATTTTTAAATAATTAATCTTATTTTATATAGAACTGATGTTACATGTTCAGATAAACTTTTTAATCTTATAAAATTATGTTTGAGATTGAAAATAAGATTTAATATGTGTTTGAATATGTGCATTTCATTATAATTTTTACATTAAAAATTATGTAAATTCAAACATTCAATTAAAAGTTATATAAATATATTTGTTAAATTTAAAATGAAATAGTAGAACTTAAATTACTATTTTTTCTTAGTATAAAATAATATTTTGTTATTTTTCAATAAACGAAACATAATTTAATATATATTGGTAAAAGTAACATTATAATTTAATATTATATTATTACTTTAATAATGTTTTTATATTTATATATAGTTAGGTTTTTACTAAAGTTATAGAAAAATGTTATTTATTAACCATTTGATGTTATATTAGCTTACATTAGTATTATTTTTCATAAAAGTTGAATTATTGAATACATTGACACTATAAATATATTTTATTCATCTATTCAATAATAAATTATTACATTAACAAGATTGTTGATTAATAATTAATGTAAAAATTATATTCTCAATGTATTATAATTATCTAGCAGTCTAAAAATATTTATAACATATTAAACTTAAATTTATTATATAATATATTATATTAATAAATAAAAATATTAAAATAAAATATTCAGGAAACAAAACTTGAGACATGTAATCGTAACTTATGTGTGTATTTGTGAGGTTTTGTAGATTTTGATTAGATTGTCTTGCCCTCCATTGGCAAAAGCGGGGTATGCTTTCACTTTGGGATACTTCCAAAGATAAAATACTTTTTTTCTTTTTTGTATTGAATTTCTGGATTTGCTGATTGATCGTGGTGTTCAAATTGATTATATAACTTGTTGCTTCTGTCATAGTTTGGAGAAACTTTCAACTCATTTGTTTTTAATATGCTTAGTTTCATATCAAATCTAATACTTTACTGCGTGTTAACTTGAATTCTTACTAGTTTTGCCTTTAAATTTATCGACTTACTTATTTTTTTGGCTTGATATTAGTTGTAGTAAAAGAGAAAGAATGTGTTTATTGATTATTTATGTAAGTACAATGTAATCTTTGTGGTTACATAGAAATTGAATTGTGTTTTTCAATAGTGTTTTAAATGAAAGAGAAGTCTTAGATTCTATTATTCTGAAGTCTTGAAAATGACTATCACTTGTTAGTAAGGAGAAGTTATTTTGTTAGTTGATTGATATTTAAACTCACAAAATTGCTTTCATCTTAGCTCTGTATAAGTATATTTTTGCTTTTTATTTTCTTGAGTAAATATTAGTCTTTTCTCTGTGTATACGGATTTTGAGTTTCTCTTAACTCTATCTAATAATATATGTTTTGTCTATAAAAATATATATAATCTTTATACAAATATTATTATAATGCATTATTTGTTAGTATCTTTCATTTTTTTTGAACATTTTAATTTGTATAAGATAAAATCAATATTTACAACTTTTATATAAATATTTTTAATTTTCTATATGCTGATAAATGATATTTTAATATATTAATATTTATAATCTTCTTTGTAGTCTCACTTTTGAAGTTGGATTCTTTAGGTAGTTTATTTGTAGTCTAGACTAGAAGCTTAGTTTTATATATATATATTTTTTGTTGTCTGTCCTGTTTAATAGAAAAAAGAATGATCTTTATTAATAATACCTTAATCTAAATCATATAAAAAATTAGTATTGTATTAATTTTTTTAGAGTACATTTTAAAAAATAATAAAATTAATCTATAGATTTTATATTATTATTTTAACACATTTTAGTAATTTTTAATAAATTTTATTAAAATATTCTTTTAAAAACCTATGTTAATAAATTTTATAGTCTCATTTATGATATAAATTTATTACATAAATATTTAATTAAATTATTATCTAAATCTAATAGCAAAAAAAATTATTATCTAAATACAACCTTAATTTGCATATTTTTTAATTTCTCAAACCGGTCTAATATACGTCGTCCAAATTTAAGTAATAAAGTCTTAGCACAAAATTTTCTTCAACTAAATAAACTAGACTTTTAATCTTTAGAGGTGAAAATTCAAATTCACAAACATTTGAATTTTCATTTATTTTATCTACCTTCATGTTATAGTTTAAAAGCATAAATTTATATATATAAAAAAATATAGAATCGCAAACATTTAATTTAATCATATAATAAAAATAGTGAAAACACTTCTACCATCCTTGTTTACATTTTAATAAAGTAGATAACTATATGAAATGCTAAAAATATTAATTTAATTTAAAATTGAAAATCTATGGTAAAAAAGAAAAAGCAAAACTGGTGTCAGATACATTAGCCTTAAAATCAGAATTGTATACATGTGTTACCATGTGTGTTACTGCAACACTAAAGTCTTGCATTTGCACAAGCTTGTGCAATGAATCAGTCACTAGAATATAAGACAAACTTAAACTTTCTTTAATCAAATTCTAAATAACATCTTTAAAATACTAATTAAAAAAATATTAAAAATATTATAACTCCCATCATTATTACAGATAACCAGACTTGTGACACAATTTTAATTTTTAAAATTTAAACTCAAAATCTGTAATTATGTTAAAAATAAACTTCATCAACTAATATATTTATTCAATGCTAATCAAACTTAAATGTTTGTTTTAAGGAGTATAATTTAATTTTGTCAATTCTTATTATCTTATTTTGTATAAATTATGTTTTTTCAAGTCGATATTTAAAAATGATTTTCAGCAATTAAAAGTGATAAATTTTTATTAAAAACTATCTTTAGACATTTAAAAATAAACTTACAGACTCAAGTGAATAGAATTATTTTTATCAAATTACTGTAAGAATTAATATTTTGATGAAATAAAAATTTTAAAAACAATATACTGCATTAGAAAGAATTTATTATTATCTCACATTTTTTATTTTTATCTATTTAATCCATTAATTTTTCTACATAAGATAAAACTTACACGACAGTACGTACAAAGACTAGTGTGCAAATATTTAAATTATAAAACGGCATAAAGTTAACGGCGTTTTACACCAAAAAAAAAAAAAAAGGAAAAATTTGTAAAATATGAAAAAGCAGTGATATATATAAAATTAAAAATGAAGAGAATTGTTAGTGTCCCCACAGATTATATTTAAAAATAAAAAAT